ACCCCCGAAAATTTGATGCTTACTGCTAAAGTCATCATCTTAGTGAGCACAATTTATATGGTGATTTTAAGATATTTTAAGTGGTCTTCCGTCTGCATCTGGTACTATCATGATCTACATTTGAGAACGCTGCGAAGTGGCCAGTTTGGTTCACGTTGGTCTCCGGGGAAGGGGGTCCATCATCCACCCCAGGAGTATAACAACTCCGGTATCACCTGGATTGGGTCGCAACATTCGCAGCTTCAAACATTCTCTTTCTGTTTGGTGAACAAATGTGTGGAAGTACTTGTTTGGTGGTTCTCAATCTGCTTGGATGGTCTAGAATGGTCTGTTTGACAAGGGAACTCACCCTGTTTTAGTAACACATCTGCATGAGTTGAAATTGCCCCAAAAAACAAAAGGGTTCAGAGTCAAAAAGCGAGTTACACCCATCACGCTCCAGCGCAAAGCAGCGCCCGCAAAGGGCGGCGGCAATATGCGGCAATATCCCGTTTCTTAGTGATGAAACCACATCCTTTTTTGGCTGGCAATATCCGATCTCTGGTTTCAAGCTGATTGAAACCCAGTCATCAACCCGCCTGCCACAAAGGATGACTCAGTTGCAGTTGTCTTTTTATGAAATCTTTTGGGTTGATCTATTCTTAGTTGCAAAATATCGGCACATTTTACTTTTACCGTGGCTCACAGCCCAATTTTCTATGATACGTCTATGATCTGTCTGGATTTGAATCATATTCACCCACCTGAAACAGGTCATATTGGGACGGACCCCACGAGTAAAACTGACCATTGTTTCTGGTGTTGGCCAGTAAGGTCCTTCAAATTCACCGAGATTAATTTGATATTTCTGGGTAAAGTTGGCATATAAACCCATCTAGATACTTTTATAAGTATCATACACCAACCTGTTACTGGCTGGTGGTTTGAACCCCTCTGAAAAATATGACTTCGTCAGTTGGGATGATTATTCCCAATATAGGGAAAAAATGTTCCAAACCACCAACCAGTTAAATATGGCTTTGTCCGGAAATGGGGTTATCCAATATTATGGCCATGTTCAAATCAACAGAAATATGGAAATTATGATAAACCACTGGATGCTGGCATAACCTACTTTTGGACAAACCCGTGATATCATACTGTTGCTTATAGATCCGGTTCTATCTCACCATATCCTCATCATGGGCGGTCTATGTTGACCTAATAGCCCCATTATTGTTGCTTAAATCTATCTTAAATCCATCTTCGCTGACAAACCAGCATCATCTTGTTACACATTCCCAGTAATGTGGTAAACCCAATGTCATAAACATTCATAAACCATCTCCCAAAATCACCGAAAATAGGTGGTATAAATCATCCCCAGACATGGTAGCTCCATGAGGATCGGGGTTGGTGTCGATGGGCTCACCCCATGCCATCTGGATGACGGCATTCAATTGGCTGGACATCGGCATCCGGGTCTCGAACTTTGGCTGAATCGCTTGCACCAAATCCTTTTTCCCATTTCCCATATGGATGTGGGTCAAAATGGAAGACCGATGTGGGACCACAGATGTGAATGTCTGGTTTAGTATTAACCATCCATAATTTTGGGGTACCTAATTTTGACCCTTTTTCCCATGATTATTATCATTTCCTAAAGGATTTTTCCCATTCACATCTTGAAAGACTTGGGAGGGAAAGCCCAACTTTCGCGTCCACCTCGAAGGGCACGTTGTGGAAGTAGACGCAGCTGAACGCTTCAGCTTCAGGCTCCTGGATTCTGGAACTGGGTAGATTTGTCGCATAAAATGACGAATTGCACCCCCCAAACTTGGCAATTATGCTATTTTCCTATATGGCAATGTGTCAAAACCCATGGAATCCCCTGTAGTTCACATCAAAATAGCTGGTAAATGGATGTTCATCCCCCTAAAAATGGTATTTATGTATAGGTATTGATCCATACCCATATGTTTCTCACCATTTCATTTGGAACAGCTCTTCCAGGAAGAAACATGAAGAAACCTGCAGAAATCTTGATCGACTCCTGGGGCCATGGAAGCAGCGGATCCATATCGATATGATTTAACCAAAGAAGAAACAGGTCCAATCTAAATAGAAAAATTAACATGATTCTATACATAAATAAATAAATGAATAAATAAATAAATAAACACATAAATAAATAAATGAATAAATAAATAAATAAACAACTAAATATATATATGTATATATAATTATATATATATTTGAATAATATTTGCGACATGCATGGACTACAAATTTTACCATCAAACACGTTTTCCAAGGACTCACTCTTTTAATGTCAATCAAAACTTCGTCACCGGCAAAACAAGCTAACAAGGGTCAGCTATGTAGCTGACGAATTCAAGGTTTTTTTTTGTTCCAAAATCAACCACAAATTTAACACTTGAATGCCATGTTTGATGTTGAAAATCACCAGGACATGATCTACATTTCTAGTGGATTTTCTGCAGGATTTTCCCCATCACCGCATCAGCGGCAACCAGTCCTCCCTTTCTGAGTCGGATTTGCCTGGTCCACAGCTGACAGTGGTGGCACAGACAGATTTGTGTTTCTGAAAATTGGATAGCTCAACTTATGAACATTTATGAAAACAAATACCATTTTAAGGGGATTCAGCATTTTTGGAAAATTTACCATTTTAAGGGGATTCAGCATTTTTGGAAAAACATATATATATAATATACAATCAAAATCTCCTTTCAGGATTAGATCAACGATGATCAACGATTACTCCAGCAAAATCGCGACCCCGCACAAACCATGAATTTCACCCATAGAATTCACAGGTCAGTTTCCGAAAAAAAATTCTTCGCAACGTCATGGAAGGCATGGGAAAACCCCTGCATGGTTAATCTTAGATGTGCAAAAATTGATGATTAGCCAGGTATGACATATTCCTTATGGCCAGGATCCAAGGTCTTCAAAGGCTGAAATTTCCAGTTTCCAGATATTGGGATTGGGGGACCAATCCTGTACGTAGTATCAGTATTTAGGTATACGTACTAAGCTATGCTTTTTGGGGGGATGTTTATGATACTGGGTAACCTCAAAAAACTAACACAGCTATGGAAAATGGATCATTTATAGATGATTTACCTATTAAAATAGTTATTTTCCATGGCTATGTTTGTTTAACTGGAGGGTCAACGATTGCTCCAGCATCCGCGATTGATATTGGGGGAGGGAGCGGCTGAGCATGACTTTCCATATGAGACTTGCAACCAATTGGGGTATACCGTCATTTGATTCAGGCAAACCCATATTAAATCACACCAATCCAAGAGGATCCAAACAACATGTCCACAATTTAAGTTTTCAATGTGATTTGGGGTTACACTACTTTGGACACAAAATGTCTGATAAAAAATAGAAATATCAACATGTCAGCCATCTATTCGATGCTGAATATTGTTTGCAAACAAGAAACCTGGTTTAACCTTAGATATACGTACCCTGCACTATCCCGCACTACAATCGCAATGTTTACCGTTTACCCATATTGCATACGGGCGTGTCATTGCATACCTGGACAAAGCCAAACATCACATGTTCGCTTATCTCCCAATAATCCCATCATCTATATATATATAATATATATATATGTATATTATATATTATATATATATTATATTATATATATATATTACATATATAATATATATATATTATACACATACACATGAGTTATATCCCCATTTGGTGTTGCACAATTGTCCCCCCCAAAAAATGGTAAAGATTTCAGACTGGTGGTGTGTCCAAAATATGAGACACTTGGGACCATCATCCTGGGGTTTTTCAGCATATCCCCATGAAATCCATCATGAAATCCATCATGAAATCCATAATGTATTGTAAATCCCATAAGATTTAACCTTACAATATCCCGTTTTTATGTAAATGACCTACAAATACCTACAGGCTGTAGAGTATTGCGGCGCGAACAAAATTTGCTTGCTGTTTTTTTTTCAGAAGCCTGCACTTTCGGGACGGCCGAAAAAACGTTCGGATTCTTGACCAACTCTCAGGCGGTATTTTCACCCATCATTCACTTTCGGTACGGCCTTGGTCGCGGGGTTCCGAAGCTTCTTCTTCCTCGGCCATTTCCTGGTGCAAGGGTGCGAGATTGCTCGGACATCACCGGGCATCAAGTTGATAACTACAGCTAGTTTGATGTTCACCAAAAAATACCATTCATGGATACCCTCTGGTAAACGTTTACAAACACCTATGGAAAATCACCATGCTATTGATGGGTAAATCAACCATTTCTATGGGCATGTTCAATAATTAGCTATGTTCATCCATTTACTTTCTCTATGGGAATCATTCCATTGGTGTGAAAACCAGGGTGGGCTTTGATCCATGATGATCCATGGGCAAAAAGCAAACGAGTGAACTAGTACCCTTGGGTGCCATCAAACATGTCTCGAACGTCTTCCATGGAGGAGTCTAGTTGAATCATCTGTAAATGGGTGATTTTCCAGCCTGCGCCATCGGCGCCATGCTTGATGACAGAGGTAAACCATGGTAAACCGCCATAAACAAGGCTTTCGCAGTGTTCAAAATCCCTCTATCATTCCATGAAATACTGGTTGCATCTGGTTGCTTTATGTTGCTTTTTTTTGGGATTCCCCGTTCTTGGATTATTATCAACCAATAGGGGTTTGGCAGCCACTGCTCACTTCTTCACCCGAGAAATCAAGGATCCAAACAGGACAAGGCTTTCGCTTGGGGTGAACCGAGAATGGTAGGGAGAAGGGATAGAACTACGAAATGGAAAGGATATGGACATGATTGATAGGACTATGAATATGAATATGGATATGAATATGAATCGGATTGGATTAGATTCAGCGAGCAATACTTGGTGCTGGTTCGTGGTTGAGCTACCCTTTCCAAAAAAAATACTGTGTTTTGTAGTCACTGTTAAGTGGACTCAGAATCATATACATTTCGGTCAAACATGAAAACCTATTTGAAACCACAAACCAAGGCCGCTGGAATAGAAGAGCACCAGGCGATACCCATGATTGCTTTGTGTTGTGGTGTATTCTCTCGCTTTACAGGCAACACAAACACAAGTTTTGACTTAGACTTACAACAAATACCCAGCTTTTTCACCTTACAACATATAGCTTTGTCTGAAAGTCTGAAAATGAGGTATCTCAATTGTTCACGTTTTTTTTACATCATGTTCCGGCTAACTTATATCCCAACTTATGGGGTTCATAACCATGGTTCAACGGGATGGTTTCAATCCAACGAAAATTTTGTGTCCTGGTCAGCTTCCTGGTCGACCTTGGGAGACTCAGCCAGGTCATCCTGCCAGATTTTCTGCAAAACAAGGGACAGTGAAACAACGGTGTTAGTGGGTTTGTTATCCCTTTTATTGGAGGAAATCACCATTTTATGGGGGGAATCACCATTTTATGGAGGGAAATCAACACTATAACATATACCGACCTGAGCAATTTGAGATTCATGTAAGAATGAGGGAATTGAACCAACAAATGAGCATTATTCAAAGCCTTCTGCCATTCCATTGTGCTGCTTGGTGAATAGAGATTCCTATAGCGCAATATGCAAAACCCTAACTTATGCGGTGGTATAAGCCCCCTACATGAGGATTGAAGCGACACATGTTATGGGGGGTACAAAACCAAGTAGCTTATGGGGATATAAATGGTGTGTGTGTATATATGTATATAATTGTATATACATATATATGTACACCTATACTACAACCAACAGTATAATCTTTAAATTCTCTCCAGTTTATGTAGGAAAAGCCAGCGATACAACATACCAATCATACTGATACAATGGGCGAAACATGACAGTATGAAACCAGCAACATACTGATAAAATAGAATATATATGAATATATTACCAAAGATATCATTTTTTCTTGGCCCAATTCTTTGGCAAAAACCTGGGGAAAATCATCACATCCTAATCCAATCTGGGGACTATCTCTCAGGGATACCCAGGGATACCCAGGGATATGATCTCGGGTGAACATAGTTTTGTACCCGCAAACATATACCCCCCAAAATAGGCTACCCCAAATTCACATGGTTTATCATCATTTCACCAGTAGATACAATTAATCGCCCAAAATTGGCGTATCCCGATATCCCCTATTTGCCGACAACCCCACATAGTACATTGTTGTTTCTTCTTCTTCTTTTCTTCTTCTTACCCGTATCACTCTCATAGAATTATGTATATATATATACATATACACATACATATTGTGTATGCATTTTGTAATCTATCAGATTATCAAATTTATCAGTATATATGATAGATCCCACTATATTCCCATGATCTCCCCATAAACCTGGCTAAATCTTCCATGTATGGACAACGATACCACTGCACCGTTTCTGCGCCTTCTCCTTGGCTGGTTCCCGTTTGATGTCAACATCGAAGTCACTGAGGTCGGACTCCTTGGAGAATTTCAGAGGCGAACATTTTCCCCAGGAAAAGCTGCTGGGGATTGAACCACTACAGCTTATATCCCATTATCTATTCCCATTAATATAATATAAATATATATTAATATATATATATATATTAATATATATATATATGTATATATATATATATTAATATATATATATATTAATATATATATTAATATATATATATATTTATGTGTATATATATATGAATATCTCATCATTTCATGGATAAATCTCCAAACATGTCCAAAGATATTCCCGTAAACATGCGTCCCTACAAGGTGAGGCCCAGCAGTTACGTTTGTTGCTTTATACCCATCAACTCGTCAACTTTGCCAAGTTATGTCCGTCAACTTAGCTATCGTAAACCGGGGCTTCACCCTGTAAGCAGCATCGCCGTTTGAATCCACCAGGTTGAGGATATGCACATTGCAAGAGGGTCATCTGCTCAAAAACCCATGCAACAGGACACTCTTTGAGGATGGCATGATCATTTCTGCATGCGCTGTGCATGCGTTGTGCAAATGGGAGCCCATCCTACTTGTCTGAAATCTTGTGCTTGTCTAGCTGCTCATGGCGGTTTCCATGCATTCCGTGAAAATTGGGGCATCTAAACGGTGCTGGTAACATCTGTGAAGGTGCCATGGCCATGGTCAAGTTGCCATGTTTTTTTCTTTTGGGTAATCAACCCCAATGAAAATAGGGGGATTATCAGATTACCATTCCCAAACTTGTGGGAAAATGATGGAAAATGTAACCTTAACATGTCAGATATGCTTGGTAAAAAATGAGAATCCCTTGTCTTCGAACTGGGATATTTGAATGGATACTCACCCAAATTCATCACCACCCTGGTTGCAGTTGACACCTCTTCATCAGAGGATTTGGAGACCGTATGCTCTGAACTTTCCTCCACCTGCAGGAGCTTTCAACCCAACTCAAAAATTTCAAAAATGGTGTCATTGGAAATCATGATCTCCAGTTGGAAAAGGATAATCAAACACAACAAACACCAATCAAACAGGCTGATCCCACCATTTTTCGTGAAGAGCATGAGTCTCTTTGGGATCCCAACCCCTATGAAACCGAAAGAGGTTTGAACCACATCTTACCCCGGGCCACCATCCCATATTTGGGGTAGCGAATGACCTGACACATACCCAATATTAACAGATGCAACCCATGGTGCTGGTATATTTACCGCACCATAACTGGGTGAAAAAAATAGGGTAAATGTAGGTAAATATACCAGCACCATGGAGCATATGGGATTCATCCCACTGTTCTTGATTTTTCACGAATACACACAAACCCAATTGCGAAACATTGCGAACAAGATTTCATCAGAAATCTTCCCCTGTATGCAGCATTTTCCCTTTGATACAGGTCTTGTTGGGCACACACTCATCAAATACATCTAAACTTCAAGTGTTGCTGTTTGTCGATGTGCTTTTTCATAAACCAACTTTTTGGGGTCTAAAAAAAGGTCTTGGTGCACTCCACCCCAAGAGATGGTGCCTTGTGATACCCCATTCCATCCACTGGATCCCACAGCCTCTGGTTATGTCAACAGTTTGCTATGGAAAATGGCCCAGTCGAAATAGTTGATTTACCCATCAAAAAATGGTGGTTTTCCATAGTTTTTTGTATGTTTACCAGAGGGTAGCCATCATTCTACCCATCAAAAACGGCAAACATCCTGGGGAGTCAATACCAACAGAGGCATCTCGTCGGCTCAACTGGGAACTCCACCTTCATGACTTCGCTTTTCTTTGCCACGCTGTAGAAAGAAATCTTGCCGTCCCTCAGAGGCAGAAGTCCGTGGATTTTTTGCTGGTTGGTGCTTGACCAACTTGACCAACCCCTCTGAGAAATATGAGTCAGTTGGGCAGTTGGGATGATGATTCCATTCCCAATATGATGGGAAAAATAAAACATGTTCCAAAGCACCACCAACCAGATGCTTTTGTTTCATTGGAAAAGCATCTGTTGGAAATGCTTTTGGAAAATGATCTGCATTTTTGGCTCGTTTTCCCGACCCTTGGAGCAATTTGAGATGTTTCATACCCCAATGGGCGTGGCCAATCCTAGATACCATGCCCCCAACGGGGGTATCATATGTTGGTTCCCCTATCCATAGCAAAAGAGTCACTCTTTGATGGTTTCAACCCCTACTGACAACTACTAGTCACTTAGCATTCCCAACCGAAATCGGGTTGAATATAGAAATGTGGGAAACCACCAACCAGTTCAAGTATGAAACTACTCAACCCACAGTTACTCAAAGGTCGATCCCAACCCCAAAGCCACAGCCACCAGAGGCCCCGGCTGAGCTTCAGTTGGTGAAAGCACCTGCCAACTCGAGTCTGAAGGAAGTTGGTCAATATCCCAAGCATGACGATGGTAACATTCAGAAAAAAAAAACATGGGAAATCGCCATGTGAAAAGCCTATCCTGGATCAAATTAAAAACAATTGGTCTCCTGCAACTGGCTCTTCGGAGCTATCTATGACTTTGGATCCAATGGGCATCATTGGTGGGGGAATGTTTACCCTTCGACAATCAAACTAATCTAACTAGCGTACCCTGTACATTGGTAGACAATTCGGAAAAGAAATGAACATGATCATCCATTATAGATCATGCTCACTATATATCATGAATAGATCTATAATAAATATGATAATCTGATATAAACTGGCCATTGGTTTATCAATTTGTATCCAGCTATGTCATATTTAGCTATGTCACCAGCTATGTCACCTTTTTTACTTGGAGGATAACCATCCTCTCAACACGCCTTGGCGAAGACATTCCAATTTCGAGTCAAGGCACCAATTCACAAACTACCCTCTGGTAAATCACCATTTTTAGTGGACAATCACCATTTTTAATATGGTAAATGGAAAAAAACAAAACAATATATATACCCTCTGGTAAACCGACAAAAAACTATGGAAAGATCCACCATGCTATTAATGGGAAAATAAACTATTTCTATGGCCATTTTCAATAGCTATGTTTGTTTACCAGAGGGTAGAAACAAACAGTTTCCAGGGTGAATCAGCTGACTAACCGGATCAAAGTAATCCGCATTTACTTGTGGGGATTGCCTTCTGCTACGGCAAATTGTCAAGAGAACAATGGAGCTATGAAAAATACCCATCGAATCCCATGTCGTTGTACTTGTTGGGTTAATTCGTGGCTTTGAATCTTAATCATCCCCAATACAACAGAGAGATAACCCCTATAATCATCAACCATAATTTATCAACTATATATATACCACATTCCAAAGGTTTCACTTCCATTCACCGCCAATGATGTGTCCATTCCCATGAACCAATCAACGTCTCAATCTGTGCCTTGGGTGCGTGCACCTCTGGTTCAGCACCTGTGGCACAGTGGCCCTCCCATGCACCAGGGAGCCGCCCGGATGAACACGGGGATGTACTTGAATGGTGGTTGCAGCATACCACATTTCTGGCTAGACCCAGAGATCATGATTGATCTTCTCGTCAGGGCTGCCCCACAACCCCAGTTTGTTGGGTCTGTCTGTTTTTATGGCCGATGACCACCATTTATGGCCGTTTGATTGGCAAAAACACACGAACCATCAAATTTCGAAGTACCCAATTTTCAAAGAAGCCCATATCCCAAATCGTACCCACTTGGTGTTGGTCAATAGCACCATTTGGGGATATTTGGGGTGTGTCTGGAAATGGGGCAAGCCCGAAATAGCACATTGAATGGGAACCATGATGCTATTTCTATATGACATATATCATTCCGTATCATATTTCGAACTGTTGCTATATCTATGACACATATCCTGAGTATATGGAAGTGTTGGGGTACCTCCATCCCCCAAAGATAAAAGAAGGCTTACCCCAGAAATGATCATTCACCATTTACACTATACCGCCGGACAGTCACTTAGAAGATTAAAAAAAAATCCAAAATTGGGGACCTCACACTTAGAAGATAAAAAGCTAACAAAGAAAATCCCACACTTAGAACGTAACACTTAGAAGTGGCCTATTTTTTAACATTCACACTTAGAAGATTTATGATGATGTCTTCTAAGTGATTGTCCGGCAATGTTCTAAGTGTGATGTCGCCCCAGCTAACTATATATGTCCACAGTACACTAATAATAGTTAATGCAAAGAACACCAATAAATATATGAATCAAACTAATTATATATTATTATAAATATATATATATATAATGGTTTGTAAAGATCGTATGAAATGAACTGTTAATCAACTGGTGGTGACCCATGGGCAATCACGGAATAAGGTGTGTTTCTCATCCCTTATAAAAGAGTGTTGATGGTCCATATATTTTTTTTCATATATCAACATTATTGTAATAATGTGTGTGGTGGATGAAGGTCGTATGAAATCAACTTGAAGGAGTTGATTATTCCCAAACATTATCTTCTTATCTTCTAAGTGTGGTGCCTCACCACCTGGTTGGGCCACCTGGGAAATCACGGAATTTCCAACACACCAGCAATAACCACAATATGGTTTGTTTCCCATCCCCGGGTTACAAGCTTTCCTGATGAATACAAAATTATGTATACATCTATCTTATATTGCTGGTGTGTTCGAAATTCCGTGATTTCCCAGGTGGCCCAACCAGGTGGTGAGGCACCACACTTAGAAGATAATGTCTGGGAATGGTCAACTCCTTCAAGTTGATTTCATACGACCCTCATCCACCACAAACATTGTTGCAACAATGTTGATATAAGATAGATGTATACATAAATTTGTATTCACCAGGAAAGCTTTTAACCCTGGGATGGGAAACATGTGGTGGACGAGGGTCGTATGAAATCAACTTGAAGGAGTTGATTATTCCCAAACACTATCTTCTTATCTTCTAAGTGTGGTGCCTCACCACCTGGTTGGGCCACCTGGGAAATCACGGAATTTCCAACACACCAGCAATATAAGATAGATGTATACATATATTTGTATTCATCAGGAAAGCTTTTAACCCTGGGATGGGAAACAAACCATATTGTGGTTATTGCTGGTGTGCTGGAAATTCCGTGATTTCCCGGGTGGCCCAACCAGGTGGTGAGGCACCACACTTAGAAGATAATGTTTGGGAATGGTCAACTCCTTCAAGTTGATTTCATACGACCCTCATCCACCACAAACATTGTTGCAACATATGTTACCCTTCTTGCAAACTCATTCCGACTCACGGCAAACCCCCCCGGCAAACCCAACATGTTGCAACAATGTTGATATAAGATAGATGTATACATAAATTTGTATTCATCAGGAAAGCTTTTTAACCCTGGGATGCGAAACATGTGGTGGACGAGGGTCGTATGAAATCAACTTGAAGGAGTTGATTATTCCCAAACATTATCTTCTTATCTTCTAAGTGTGGTGCCTCACCACCTGGTTGGGCCACCTGGGAAATCACGGAATTTCCAACACACCAGCAATATAAGATAGATGTATACATAAATTTGTATTCATCAGGAAATCTTTTAACCTTGGGATGGGAAACAAACCATGTTGTGGTTATTGCTGGTGTGTTGGAAATTCCGTGATTTCCCGGGTGGCCCAACCAGGTGGTGAGGCACCACACTTAGAAGATAATGTTTGGGAATGGTCAACTCCTTCAAGTTGATTTCATACGACCCTCATCCACCACAAACATTGTTGCAACAATGTTGATATAAGATAGATGTATACATAAATTTGTATTCATCAGGAAAGCTTTTAACATCTTTTAACCCTGGGATGGGAAACATGTGGTGGACGAGGGTCGTATGAAATCAACTTGAAGGAGTTGATTATTCCCAAACATTATCTTCTTATCTTCTAAGTGTGGTGCCTCACCACCTGGTTGGGCCACCTGGGAAATCACGGAATTTCCAACACACCAGCAATATAGATAGATGTATACATAAATTTGTATTCATCAGGAAAGCTTTTAACCTTGGGATGGGAAACAAACCATATTGTGGTTATTGCTGGTGTGTTGGAAATTCCGTGATTTCCCGGGTGGCCCAACCAGGTGGTGAGGCACCACACTTAGAAGATAATGTTTGGGAATGGTCAACTCCTTCAAGTTGATTTCATACGACCCTCATCCACCACAAACATTGTTGCAACAATGTTGATATAAGATGTTTGCATAAATTTGTATTCATCAGGAAAGCTTTTAACCCGGGGATGGGAAACATGTGGTGGACGAGGGTCGTATGAAATCAACTTGAAGGAGTTGATTATTCCCAAACATTATCTTCTTATCTTCTAAGTGTGGTGCCTCACCACCTGGTTGGGCCACCTGGGAAATCACGGAATTTCCAACACACCAGCAATATAAGATAGATGTATACATAAATTTGTAATCATTATTCAGCAGGAAAGCTTTTAACCCTGGGATGGGAAGCAAACCATATTGTGGTTATTGCTGGTGTGTTGGAAATTCCGTGATTTCCCGGGTGGCCCAACCAGGTGGTGAGGCATCACACTTAGAAGATAATGTTTGGGAATGGTCAACTCCTTCAAGTTGATTTCATACGACCCCCATCCACCACAAACATTGTTGCAACAATGTTGATATAAGATAGATGTATACATAAATTTGTATTCATCAGGAAAGCGTTTAACATCTTTTAACCCTGGGATGGGAAACATGTGGTGGACGAGGGTCGTATGAAATCAACTTGAAGGAGTTGATTATTCCCAAAACATTATCTTCTTATCTTCTAAGTGTGGTGCCTCACCACCTGGTTGGGCCACCTGGGAAATCACGGAATTTCCAACCCACCAGCAATATAAGATAGATGTATACATAAATTTGTATTCATCAGGAAAGCTTTTAACCTTGGGACGGGAAACAAACCATATTGTGGTTATTGCTGGTGTGTTGGAAATTCCGTGATTTCCCGGGTGGCCCAACCAGGTGGTGAGGCACCACACTTAGAAGATAATGTTGGGAATAATCAACATCCTTCAAGTTGATTTCATACGACCCTCATCCTCCACAAAACATTGTTGCAACCATGTTGATATCGATGGATAATACATAAATTTGTATTCAAGCATGAAGCTTTTAACCCTGGGGATGGAACATGTGTGGAACGAGGTCGTAAATGAAATCACTTGAAGGAGTTGATTAAGTCCCCAAAACAGTATCTCTATCTTCTTAAGTGGTGGTGCCCTCACCACCTTGTTTGGGCACCTGGGAAATCCCGGAATTTTTTCCACCCACCAGCAATATAAGATAGATGTATACATAAATTTGTATTCATCAGGAAAGCTTTTAACCTTGGGACGGGAAACAAACCATGTTGTGGTTATTGCTGGTGTGTTGGAAATTCCGTGATTTCCCGGGTGGCCCAACCAGGTGGTGAGGCACCACACTTAGAAGATAATGTTTGGGAATGGTCAACTCCTTCAAGTTGATTTCATACGACCCTCATCCACCACAAACATTGTTGCAACAATGTTGATATAAGATAGTTGTATACATAAATTTGTATTCAACCGGAAAACTTTTAACCCTGGGATGGGAAACATGTGGTGGCCGAGGGTCGTATGAAATCAGCTTGAAGGAGTTGATTATTCCCAAACATTATCTTCTTATCTTGTTAGTGTGGTGCCTCACCACCTGGTTGGGCCACCTGGGAAATCACGGAATTTCCAACACACCAGCAATATAAGATAGATGTATACATAAATTTGTATTCATCGGGAAAGCCTTTAACCTTGGGATGGGAAACAAACCATATTGTGGTTATTGCTGGTGTCTTGGAAATTCCGTGATTTCCCAGGTGGCCCAACCAGGTGGTGAGGCACCACACTTAGAAGATAATGTTTGGGAACGCTCAACTCCTTCAAGTTGATTTCATACGACCCTCATCCACCACAAACATTGTTGCAACAATGTTGATATAAGATGGATGTATACATAAAGTTGTATTCATCAGGAAAGCTTTTAACCCTGGGATGGGAAACATGTGGTGGACGAGGGTCGTATGAAATCAACTTGAAGGAGTTGATTATTCCCAAACATTATCTTCTTATCTTCTAAGTGTGGTGCCTCACCACCTGGTTGGGCCACCTGGGAAATCACGGAATTTCCAACACACCAGCAATATAAGATAGATGTATACATAAATTTGTATTCATCAGGAAAACTTTTAACCTTGGGACCGGAAACAAACCATATTGTGGTTATTGCTGGTGTGTTGGAAATTCCGTGATTTCCCGGGTGGCCCAACCAGGTGGTGAGGCACCACCCTAGAAGATAAAAGATAATGTTTGGGAAGAATCAACACTCCTTCAGTTGATTCATACGACCCTCATCCACCCAAACATTGTTGCAACAATGTGATATAAGATAGATGTAATCCATAATTTGTATTCAAAGCCGAAACTTGTTAAGCCCGGGGATGGGAAACATGTGGTGGAACGAGGGTCGTATGAAACAACTTGAAGGATTGATTATCCCAACATTATCTCTTATCTCTAAGTTGGTGCCTCACACCTGGTGGGCCACCTTGGGAAATCACGAAATTTCCAACCCACCCAGCAATATAAGATAGATGTATACATAAATTTGCATTCATCAGGAAAGCTTTTAACCTTGGGATGGGAAACAAACCATATTGTGGTTATTGCTGGTGTGCTGGAATTTCCGTGATTTCCCGGGTGGCCCAACCAGGTGGTGAGGCACCACACTTAGAAGATAATGTTTGGGAATGGTCAACTCCTTCAAGTTGATTTCATACGACCCTCATCCACCACAAACATTGTTGCAACAATGTTGATATAAGATAGTTGTATACATAAATTTGTATTCATCAGGAAAGCTTTTAACCCTGGGATGGGAAACATGTGGTGGACGAGGGTCGTATGAAATCAACTTGAAGGAGTTGATTATTCCCAAAACATTATCTTCTTATCTTCTAAGTGTGGTGCCTCACCACCTGGTTGGGCCACCTGGGAAATCACGGAATTTCCAACCCACCAGCAATATAAGATAGATGTATACATAAATTTGTATTCATCAGGAAAGCTTTTAACCTTGGGACGGGAAACAAACCATATTGTGGTTATTGCTGGTGTGTTGGAAATTCCGTGATTTCCCGGGTGGCCCAACCAGGTGGTGAGGCACCACACTTAGAAGATAATGTTTGGGAATGGTCAACTCCTTCAAGTTGATTTCATACGACCCTCATCCACCACAAACATTGTTGCAACAATGTTGATATAAGATAGTTGTATACATAAATTTGTATTCAACCGGAAAACTTTTAACCCTGGGATGGGAAACATGTGGTGGCCGAGGGTCGTATGAAATCAGCTTGAAGGAGTTGATTATTCCCAAACATTATCTTCTTATCTTGTTAGTGTGGTGCCTCACCACCTGGTTGGGCCACCTGTTCATATCAATCAATGCATTTGTAATTATATGTAATTATTTTTATTGTTTGTTCAACATGAATCTTCTAAGTGTGAGGTTTAAAAAAAAATATCTTCTATGTCTCACACTTAGAAGAGCCTCCCCGGCACGAACATGAAAAAAAAAAATCCAAAATATCTTCTAAGTGATTGTCCGGCAGTATATATATGTATATATAATGAATCTCTTTGTTGATCGCCATTTGCAAAATTTGAGCAAGCTGAACCTTGGAGTTATTGAAATGATAAATTTTGAGCCAAAGTATTTTGTGGCCATTGCTTTCTGGGTCTGCCAACCCATTAAAACACCACCTCAATAGGTGCGGCAGTATCTCTTTTGAAGCTGACCGCTGACCATTCTCGTCGGGCTGTGATTATCTCATGAAAACAACCCTGAAAGAGAAAAATGCAAACATGCCAGGCACGCAAGTCCATACAACCATTTCATGACATATCATACATGTTCAGAAATCACATGACACGACAATACACATCACAAGACAATACAAACAAAACTATACAACACAACATTGAATAATAGTACAAAACGGAACCATGTACTGAACAAGACACTAGGCGACAGTACGACAGTATGTACAAAACATGCAAACATATCTGGGAATCAGTGCAATTTTGCATACAAAATCCTTCATGATATGCACACACCCTCTGGTAACTTAACATAGCTATGAAAAATTACCATGAGATCATGTTATAGGTAATCCTCTATAAACGGGCCATGACCATATGTATCTTCAATTGCCACAGGCTACTTTCTTCATGCTTTGAAACAATGCCCCATCCTTGGCACTGCGGAAGAACTCCACCACCCGCTCCCAGTGGTTGATGGGAATGAAGTTGCGCAGGGTCGGCATGCCACGGCTTTGGCGCGAGCGACAGAATGACAAGGAAGCCTCTTCGATGTCCATCCGGGGGTTGCCGTTGCTCACAATCAGTGTCACCTGCGGGACTCCGGGCATCCCTTTGGAGATGGCAACGTTGAACAGGCGATGTGTTCTCCGGGAGCTGTAGAAGAAATCCAACCAATTGGCCAATTGGCCCTGCATTTTTGGAGATTACCTTGTCTAGAAGAATCAATGCAAACTTTTCATGGTCTCTTGGAAAAGGAAACATGTTGCAGCCCACTGGAGGGCGGTTCTTGATATTATATGATATTATAAAGCCATCCCCGGCCATCGTGGTTTCAAAGTACCGATTAAAAACACCAACTAATTGAGAAAATCACTCAAATCTGCCGAAAGCGTTTGGGATGTTTCAGCAGGAACTACATTCCCCATTTGTGGCAAACAGAATGCACCCCAAAAGCTGACCATGCACCATCCGCTTTTCAAGGCATTGGGGGCTGGATTCTTACAGTATGATGTCGTATAATTAATTTATATCATGTTCTATCGCCATCATTGGGAAAATATCTCCTATGACTACGAAGACAGAACATATATCAAATTATTTATATATATATATCAAATTGTTATGCGCAATAGATTTCAAATGATTTCTATCATTTTCTATATCATGGTGTTCTTCGCGCAGGCGAAACCGAACCTTCGAACCACCCAGCCTGCACCAGCTCATTGAAGGCTTCCGCGACTTCGCTGGAGCTGCCTGGGCCCTCTGACCTCTGCCGCTGCCGCCCTTCCGAGCCTTGCCGCGTGACCTCAAAAGCCCCCAACGGCGCATCGGGTGGGGCAAGAACTTGGTCCGGATCAGCGCGGAATGCCAGCAGGTAATCTGGGCGCAGCGTTTTTTTACGACCAAAAACTGGCGTTGTCATGATTCTGATTTGGGGCTCACCACCCCATTTCAACCGATGTAAAAGGAAACGAACAAATCAATAATTGTGAGCAGTTGCCGAAACCCCGATACTTTGTGTTCTACTCTGTCTTCCCTTTCGCCATCTTTTTCGCGAACCTTTCGCGATGCAGGGTTTTTCTTTCGCGGCATCCATGTGTCTGAAATTCACTTCCGCGAGCTTTCGCGGAAAACATGTGACACAAATTCCCCGTTTTCCGCAGTGAAGTGCGCATTTTGAAACCTTTAATTCCAAGCACAACGGACATCGTTTTGCAGCAGTTATCACTGTGGCAACATGTGGATTGATATTGCATCCGGTGGCCTCCTCCTTCTTCACCTCCTCGTCCTCCACCCCACCCTCAACCGCGAGCTCCAGATCTCAGTGGGGCCGGACCTCAACCGCGAGCGCCAGATTTCAGTGGGCACTGCCGGACCCCAACTGCGACCGCGGATCTCAGTGGGCACAGCCAGACGCCACAAGCGCCAGATCTTAGTGGGCACTGCCACTCCCCTATCAAATGGGGGGGGCCCGTCCCAGCTAGTCAGGGCTTTCGCGGATCTTTCGCGGAGCTTTCGCGAAGCTTTCGCGGACTTTCGGGTCACATCTATCGAAATTTGTGAATAATGTATCCGTATGGATCCAGATACATCTGAGGAAGCTGTCTACAAACATACTTAAAACCAGGATTTTGAGCCTTGAAAGTCTCTTTCGCGAGCTTTCGCGGGAGCTCTTTCGCGAACGTGGTTTTAGCTTTCGCGGAGCCATCTTACTTTAACAGCCCTTTAAATCTCCACTTGGAGGTTTTGGCGGCTGCTCCATTGTTTATGGGCATTAAAAAAACTATTGAAACATGGGCCAGGAGCAGTCTTTCATAGTCTTTCCCTGCTGCCGCACAACTTGTGCAGAAGACATCGGTGGACACTGGGCCATCCGCCCCCTGCAAGGCGATCCTCAGGCATGGCGGGATGGCGGCTTTGCTTGCTTTGGGGGCAGCTTCACTTTGCAGAAAGTGCAAAAATCGCTGCCGCCCATCTGCGTCCAGAAAGAGGTCCAAGAAGTTTCTTCCGCTCAACTTCTCCTTGGCATGCAAGAGCCGTTCCAACGGGCTCGCATCCTCCACAATCAGATGGCTGCGACGATCTAATACCAAGTCTCCATCACAGACACCTTTCAAGACATGACGGGATGCCAGAAGGAGGGACGACGCATCGTCGGATTCCAGTTTTCTAGCTATGCTGGACTGCAGGGCATGCGAAACCCAGAACACTATCCAAGTAACTGTCGCATGCGAGACCAGAGTGGACCACACGAGCTCGGGAGTGACGTTCGAGAAACCCATCAACTGCCAGCGTTTGAAAGTTACTACTGCAGACGAAAGGATGGAGATTGGGAGGGTCACGTGCATATCAATGAGAAGCACACATTGCAGCATAAGTGTCGTACCTGCAACCCTTTCCGCGGCACAGAAACGCTCATATTCTTGCTCATTGGCCACACCGTAGAGGAATGTGGTATAGCTAACAACAGCAATACTTTGCACCACGCGAAAGTGGTTCTTGGTCTTGAACTGTACGAAACCTGCCTGAACAGACACGTGCATAGCATAGCCCACTAGTGGGCTTATGAGTTGCATCAATGAAGCTAGGCTCGGATCCATCATCAGGTTCAGAACCATGGCCAGGCTGTATGCGAACAGAAAATGTAGAGCGAAAAGGTGGGCCTAGGCGGTCGCTGAGCCGCCTCAAAAAAAAATCAGGACCCCTTTGAGGGATGATTGGGGCCCAGGGGAGGAAATGGAAGGAGGGCAGCTCACATAATGAATCTGATACCACCCGACAACATCCGACAACTGGAGAAATCCATGTATATGGAAAAAATAAAAGAGTCAGTTGAACAGTGGGATCCTCATCTTCGTCATCACCATCACCACCCACCACCCACCCACCACCCACCACCCACTACGCCGCCGCCGCCAGCAGCAGCAGCATCATGATCATCATCCTCATCCTCATAATCATCGTCATTCTCGCCATCAACATCATCTTTGTCGTTGTCGTTGTCGTTGTTGTTGTCCTCCTCGTCGTCCTCCTCCTCCTCATCATCATCATCATCATAATCATCATCATAATCATCGCCATCCTTGTCATCCTCATCATCCTCGTCGTCCACGTCATTGTCGTTGTCATCGTCATCGTCATCATCATCATCATCATCATCATCAATATCATCATCCTCATCATCAATGTCATCATCCTCATCCTCATAATCATCGTCATTCTCGCCATCAACGTCATCTTTGTCGTTGTCGTTGTCGTCCTCCTCGTTGTCCTCCTCCTCCTCCTCCTCCTCGTCCTCCTCGTCGTCGTCGTGGTCCTCGTCCTCGTCCTCGTCCTCCTCGTCATCATC